ATAAGCATATACTTTTGGGGGTGGTTGTTTGTAACATTGCTTCAAATGTTTCCAGGTTTTCCCCATTTATTGCAGTAGAACTTGAAAAGTGAAATGTGGCAAGTACCAAGTAATGTTTGAAGGTCACAAACTGGAAAGTGGTGGTAGGAATGGGCACAGATTCAAAAGGGCCATGAATAGAAACTGTGCCAAGTATGCAGGTTTTCTTTATTCCTTGACATTTCACCTAGTATCATATGAGCCTTTAGCCAAACCTCCTCTGTTTCTACCATTATAAGCACAACTTACATAGGTCTTTACATAGGTTTTACAACTGATGTACTTGTAAAGCAATTGTAGTTCCATTCATTTGAATGCAATTAAAGAATCCTAGATTCCTGGAAATCCTGATAAGATGAAGTCCCTGATCACACAGAGCTCTAGAAGTATGTTTCGCTGAACAAAGTTATATTTCCACTTGAAGCTTTCTGGATCACATGGAGAATACAGGGTTGAATGGGGAAGCACCATAGTGTAGAGCCCTATCATTTTTCACTTTTGAAAGCTTTCAGAGAACCAAATCATGGGAAAGGAACATGGCTGTCTAGGTAGCATTTAACTATGATTTCCAGCATCTTTTACCATCCTTTACAACCCATTCTAGCTGGGTCTGCTGAGAGTTGTAATTCTATAGTATCTTAGAGAGACACAGATTCCCCATGCCTAGGGCTGGAAATTAAGCAGGAAAGCTAGGGAAATGAAACAGAATTGGATGGAAACTATATGTTCTATCTTAAAAGGCACTTCTTACAAGACATTGAACTTAAAAGGAAGCTCTACTGAATGAATATCACAACTCATGGGTACCTTGTATAGCCACATGAGTATTCTTTTCATGTTCTTCTCACTTACTGGCAAATGGTGAATGGCTACACTCGTCAGAGCATATAGATTGCATACGTCATCATTTGTTATTTTATCTGTATATCTATTTATATCTATTATCTGTATTATCTATTAATTCCTGCAAAGAAGTGCTTTTTAAGAATGCTGTATATTGCCAAATGGATCTTCTGGCTGTGATAAATGTTCCAGTGGCCAGTTAAGCTTAATAGTAATTCATATAATCAGCTTCTCTCCCCCAGTAATTGATAAAGAAAATAATGAGATGGGAATGTTTGGGATATTTAGGCATTAAGAAGTAGCCACAAAATTGTTTTTAGTGTCCTGTCCGTGGGAAATAGATAGATCAGCTCCCCAGACGTTTGCTTGTCAGTCTGTCTCTCTTTCACTTTCTTTTTTTCCCCAGTACAGTACTGTACAGTATTATTAATTGAAAGGTAAACAAGACATTCAAAACAGTGAATTTGAGCAGATGCTGATGTGGTCATAAAATAAGCAAGGGCACATTCATCTTGCAGGATTGCAATTGTTGAAATTTTTGCAAGCTACTGCAATTGTAACTTAGACATTTGAATTTAAAAAATGCCACTT